TTTTTAAATTCTCTCTCGTGGATCTATTTTCTAGGTCAGTTGTTTTTCCAATTAGATATTTCACATTATTTTCTGTTTTTTCATTCTTTTGGTTTTGTTTTACAGTGTCTTGATTTCTCATAAAGTCACTAGCTTCCAAGTGCTCCATTCTAATTTTTAAGGAAGTATTTTCTTCAGTAATCTTTTGGACTTCCTTTTCCATTTGGCCAATTTTGGTTTTTAGGGCATTCTTCTCCTCATTGGCTTTTTGGGTCTCTTTTGCTATTTGGGTTAGGCTATTTTTTAAGGTGTTATTTTCTCCAGTACTTTTTTGGGTCTCCTTTAGCAAGCTGTTGACTTATTTTTCATGATTTTCTTGCATCACTCTCAGCTTTTCCTCTACTTCTCTTACTTGCTTCTCAAAATACTTTATGAGCTCTTCCATGACCTGGGACCAATTCATATTTTTCTTGGAGGCTTTGGTTGTAGGAGCTTTGGCTTTGTTGTCTTCTTCTGTTTGTATGTTTTGATCTTTTTGTCACCAAAGTAAGATAATGTAGTCTGACTCTTTTTGCACTGCTTGCTCATGATCCCAGCCAATTACTTGAGTTCTAAACTCTTTTTCTTAAGGTAGGGGTCTGTTTCCAGTGTGGAGAATGTACTGTCCCAAGCTTTGGGGGTTTTGTGCAGCTGTTTTCAGAGATACTTCTAGGGACTTGTAAATTTTCAGTTCTTCCAAGGTGCTATGGTCAAGGGCGAGGTGTTTACTCCTTTCCTGGCCTGTGTTCTGATCTGACTGCATGCACTCTTTTCTGTCTTGGAACTGTGAGGAGTATTTCCTCTCCACCACCACTACAAACTCCACGCACCAGCACTCCTCCTTGCCCCAGGACCGCCACCCAGAACTGTGACCCAGATCCAAGCACGACAAAGCAAGAGAATCCTGCACCAGCAGAGAAATCTCTGCAATCCCACTCTGATCAGTCACTCGATTCCCCCTCAGTCTGTGGGCAGGAAGCTCGGAAGGCAGCCACCATCCTGGGGCCTTGCGTTGGGGCTGGGGCTGCCATGCTTCTCTCTTTCACCACAGACACAGACTTCCCACTTACTTTCTAAGTTGTCTTTGGCATTTGTGGGTTAAGAGTTCTGGAAACCACTACAGCTGCCCGAGATTCAGTCCTCTGAGGCCTGCTGTAGGTTCACTGAGGCCTGTGTACCCATGCCGAACTATGCTTCTCTCCCAGCCTGGTGTGTTATGCCTTTCCAATCAACCATCCAGGTTGTCTTGGGCTAGAAATTTGTTTCACTCTGTCTTTTTGTGGGTTCTGCTGCTTTAGAATTTATTTAGAGCCATTTTTTATAGGTATTCGGAGGGGTTTGGGGGAGAGCTCAAGCAAGTCACTGCTTTTATTCTGCCATCTTGGCTGTGCCCCCCCCTCCCTGTTCGCTCATTTTTTCAGCCCATTTTTTGACTTTTAACTTTATGTTAAAGTTGGGTTCTGCTCCCAGGTTGGGGAGAGGGAGCACTGTCCCAAGCTTCAGCTTTTCTTGTGCTGCTATTTTCAGAGCTATTTCTGTGGGTATAAGTTTTTAGTGCATCCAAGGTGGTATGATCCAAGGAACGGTATGGTTACTGCTCTCCTGGCTTGTGTTCTGGTCTTTACTGAGGAAGGGCCTTGCTCCCCTGCAGCTACAAGTGAGGGCACTCCTCTTGGCCCTGGGAATGTGACCAGATCCCGTGCTCCCTTGTGAGAGACCACAAGCATTCTTCTCTGACTTGGAACTATAACCAGGGATCCTGTTCCAACAAGTGCTCATACTTCTTTTTGCCCTGGAATTACAACATGGAATTGTGTATGGTCAGTGCAACAGGGCACTGCACCCAGGGCCAGCAGAGGGTCTCCTGTACTCTCTTTCTGACCAGTTGTCTGACCCCCTTACTTTCTCCGGCCTGAGAGCTCCCAAAGCTGCTGCTGCTGCCGCCACTGTCACAGCCACCTCCAAGGCCTGCTGCTGGTGTTGCCCCATGTGTTTCAGGCTGCTCCAGACTGACCCCCAGCCCAGCGTCATAGACCTCTTCTGCCAACTTCTTAAGTTGCTTTTAGGCTGGAAAAATGTCTCACTTCACCTTTTTGTTAGCTGTTCCACTCCAGAATTTGATTTGAGGCATTATTTTAAAGTTGTTTGGAGGAGAATGCTGTTGCTAAGTTGTTGCTTCTACTTTGCTATCTTGGCTCCTTCTTTCTATATATGCATAGTTTAAGAAGATATCCTGGGCCACCACCAGTCATCTTGACTTTTGTCTTGCCACTGGACATCGATGACTCTGGAGGAGTAAGGCTGATGACTTTGTGCAACTCTGCCTCACTTAAATCCAATTCACACACAAGTCAAGACACTACCATGTGATGTCCTCTTTGAGAACAACAACAACAATTTAAGAAGGAAGGAGAGAGCAGTAACAGTTGAGATCAGGAATCAGTTTCCTATAGCAACAAGATATAAGACAGAGAAACATGGTCACTGGAGTTGTGAGCCGCTCTGATGGAGGATTTCCTGGGCAAAGTCCAAGTGGAAGAGGAATTCCTTGTAGATATTGAGGGGATTCCTTATAGATAGATGTTGAAGTCTTCCACATGTTCTTGTTTACAGAAGGTATTGTGTTGATTTCAGTAAGACCTGTAACATTGCAGTCTCTTTAGTGAGATTCCAAACTGTTAAAAAAAAATTACAATCTATGTAGGAAAAACGTAGGATGTCTGTTGTTTAGACTATGATATATATTAGATGGACAGTTCATTGAGCTGAAACATCAGTCCATATCCCTTGGACAGAAACTGTAGAGGCACTATGATTCTTTCCAGGAAAGGAAGTAGGAAGTTGGGACCTCTCCTCATAGAGAGGGAATACTGAACTAGAATTATATCTGCACATTTAAATAGTCTAGGGGAAGTAATTTTTATGTTCAAGCCACACTCCTAATTGCTACCCCTTTCTAGGAAAAGGAGGAGCCCAAGGGATATAACCAAGGCTTGACTCCCTTCCCACCAAATGCCATTTCTATAATGAATGCACATAACAAATCCATTTAATCAAGTAGATAACAAAACAGAAATAAGAGAAAGTACTTATGAGAGTATCCACTCAGACAACACAGAGTGAACAAGTTTTCCCCCTGAGTGTAATAAGGCAGCTTAATCAAGAGAGAAAAAGTTTCAGCTCTCACTCCACGGGAAATTCCCTGAAGTCTGGTGTAGCAAGCCCGGCATAGGAATATGACGAAGACTGCCAACTCCGCTACATATCAACTTCTTCCCAGAGCCTTCAGGAAACTGAAGAGAATTTTAAATGATGAGTCTTTTTTCTCAAAAGTGAAAGCCAGAAAAAAGACCAGGAAGAGAAGATCTCTCCTCTCTACCTCTCACTAATTCCACCCACCCCTCGTGAAGGTGTGGGGCATTGAATGATCAGTTTCCACCAGTGAGGAGAATCTCATGCAATTGACCCTTTGAGGGGAGAATTATAGTTTAAAAACCTGAAATTCAATTCTGAGAGACTTGAAAGGAAATAGGTGTGCTATTACACTAATGGTACAAGTTGAATTGTAGTGATCTTTTTGGAAAGTAATTTGGCAACATAACAATTATAAAACCTGATCATGGGATTTGACCAAATAATCTTACTAAGACATTTCATAAGGATAGTGTTCAAAGGAAAAAACCGTGTCTGAAAATATTCATAAAAACATTATTTGTAATAGCAAAAGTCAGGAAATAAACCAGTATGTTAAATTATCTAAAACTAGGTGATCTCTGAGGTCCTTTCCAGCTCTGTTAACTATAACAAATTGCAGTATATTGATGTAATAGAGTATTTTTTGTACTATAAAAAGTAGCAAATATGAAGAACACAAAATATAGAAAGATTTCTATAAAGTGATTCAGATTGAAGAAAGCAAAATCAAAACAACATGTAACCTGTGTTCCCTGGTTGTTCACCAGTTCTTGGAAAGGGCATGCTTAAATAGTACTTAAAATTTCTATCTATCCTATGGTTCCTCACTTATTGAAAGATTCCCAGCCCTCTTCCATAGGCAACAAGTAAGGGGTCCACAATATACAAGTTTGGAACCCCTTGGTAGTGTTGACACAAAATCTCTATTGCTTATTGGATTTTGTAGGACTAGCTGATCAGTTGTGTGTTGTGTTTGATTAAGGATAATGGTAGAAACCTCTCTAAGTTTGATTTGGTTGAGATATAGGATTCTTACAACTTCTGTATATCCTAATTAATATGACTAGGTGAATCTTGAGGAACCACAATGATAGCCAACTCTCTCTAAACCAGTGTGAACACCTCCCTTAATCCACAACATTTCTCAGGTTGTAGAAATATAACATTATAGTAAAAATATATGGCTTTCCTAATATTAACAAGATGCCAAAAGTCTAGGGGCATACTTGGTAAGATTCTGCCCATTTGTGGGATAGGCACAAAAGATCCTCACCCTGAAACCAAGAAATTCTAATTCTTCCCGAGGACTGAGTCATGCTGCACAAATAGGGTAGAGCAGGGGTCGGGGAACCTGCGGCCTCAAAGTCACAGGTGGCCTTCTAGGTCCTCAAGTGCGACCCTTTGACTGAATCCAAACTTCACAGGACATATCCCCTTAGTAAAAGGATTTGTTCTGTAAAACTTGGATCTGGTCAAAAGACCGCACCCAAGGACCTAGAAGGCCACATGTGGCCTTGAGGGCGCAGGTTCCCCACCCCAGCATCATTTAGGGTGCATACTCTTCCCACTGATCTTCATAGACACCTGTGACACCCCCATGTAACCTGCTTAATTCCATTCCATTGACCTAAATTAAACTGTGCCTGAATGTCCTGTAATCCTATGGAAATAATGTACTTTCCCTTTTTTACAACCAGCTTATTGTATGTTTCCTTCTAACTAGAATCCTTTGTAAGAATGTCCTTACCAATATATTAAACATATAATCAACTAATTCCTTTCATTAGGCTTGACACAATGAAGAAAGAATACAGAAATTTGAAAACATGGGGAGAAAAATCTAATTATTTAGATAAAATTCTTCACATGAAAGCAGAAAAAAAAGAATTTCCTGACTCTCAGGTAACTAAAAAGGATATATTAGTTTACTGTTTCAGACATGAAATATAATTTAACATGATTTTCAGATTTTTATACCATTTTTTCTTTCCATTTTCTTTCTGTTCTGTAGAATTTAGCATTTAATAAATTGCTTATTAATTTTCAAGGCCAAACATGTACAACTTGGGTAATCTGGATAATATAAACTTATCTGAAAATAAATTTATCTGGCCTGAAAACTTATCAGAACAAAGATATATCTAAGGTTTTGTCATGGAAACTTGTATAAATTTGATATATGGATGAGAGACACCTTATCTGAACAAATAGCCTTTCAGTCTGCATTGTGTATAACCTTAAATGCAATCTTGCATGACTGGGCCATGTTTTTGCTGTCATTATTTAGAGGGAAAACTTCTACTTGTTGCATCCTAGGTGGCAGGGGGTTTGAGAGGTCTCTAGGCCCTCAGGCCAGGCCTTAGTGGCATGCTGTTAATGGGAAGCCTCTATCAATTGCAGGGTATGAAAGTTTTGGGGACTGCTCTCAGGTCTTCTCATGGAAGTATCCTTCTCACCCCACAGGGTGAAGAAATAATGAAGACAAAGTTTTTAAGATCCATTTATTGACAAGGTTTCTCATTTTCTCTAATGTTTGCTTCCAGGTTTCTGATAGCCATGATGACCTAGTTGCAAAGAGTGAGACTCTACCCTCATCGAGTTTCCTTCAGCCATCAGGTCTAGAAACTCATTTGGTTCTTTATAGTTATTATTAAATAGTTTAAATAAAGATAGACGTCTTGCAAAAAGAAAAGCTAATGCTTTCTTTAAATGGATTTTCGTGTTTATGTTAGGAGATTAATTACATATATTATTCTAGTTTTGTGTAGAACCCCTTCTTATTTGTAAAACTTACAGAGAAAATACTAGAATGACTGAGTTTTAGACCTTATGTTTGAAGCTCTGTTGGAAAATGTCTTTAAGGGCCAAGAAATAAGTTTAGAAATATGAACTCTAGGCCATAAAGGATTGTGTGTTATGTGGGCTGTTGTTCTTTGGTCCACTATTGTGGGTGGGTGAGTGGAGGTGTGTGTTTGAAAGAAAGCAAAAGAGAATATGCATATTTTTCTATTTTTGTCTCTCTTGCCTGGAGTATTACAATAGCCTGCTGGTGGGGATTCCTACCTCAAATCTCTCTTCATTCCAATCTATCCTCCCTTCAGCCACTAAAGTGATTTTCCTGGGCCATCTTCAGTCGTCCTGATCTTTATCTGGCCACTGGGCCTAGATGACTCCGGAGAAGGTGAGGCTGGAGACTTTGCACAGCCCTCCCTCACTTAAATCCAGCTCATTTGCAAGTCATGGCATCACCTCTCTGATGGTCCTCTTTGAGAACAAAGGACAAACAGCAACAACAGCAAGTGATTTTCCTAAATCAAAAGTTTGACCATGTTGCCCCCTACTCAGTAAACTCCAGAGGCTGCTACCAGCCACAGGATCAAATACAAAATGCTCTGTTTGGCATTTAAAGTCCTTCATAACCTAGCCCCCTTGTACTTTTCCAGGCCTCTTACACCTTCCTTCCCAACATGTATTCTTCTATCCAGTGACACTGGCCTCCTGGCTATTCTGCCACCAAGACACCCCATCTCTTGGCTTTGGGCATGTTTTTCTAGCTGTCCTCTATACCTGGAATGTCCTCTCTCCTTATCTCTGCCTACTGGCCTCCCTGGATTGATATTTATTGTTGGATCTTTTTTTCAGTTATGTCTGACTCTTTGTGACCCCATTTAAGGTTTTATTGGCAAGTTAAAGTGAAATTGTGAAAGGATATAAATGGCAAATAGATTAGTTTTCATTTTATCCTAGGTCAAATAGGAAACCACTGAAGCTTCTTGAATGGAGAGCAACATAGTCAGAACCCTACTTAGGGAATATAAATTTGGGAGTAGTATGGAAGATGGATTGGAAGGGGAAGAGGCTAGATATAGTCCAAGTGAGTGGCCATTTAGGCCTGAAATCAGAGGGGCTATGATGTAAATGGAGAGGTCAGATATGAGAGATGCTATGTAGGTAGAATCAATAGATTTGACACCTGGTTAGATATTGGGTGTGAATTTATAATAAAGGTCCTCTAACAATGCCTAGGTTACAAACCTGGGGGAATTGGAAGAATAGTGGCAAGCCTTGATAGAAGTAAGAAAGGTTGGACAAAGGGCAGATTTCAAGGACATCAGTAGCTACTGATCTGTATGCCTATCTTCTCATCTTCATAATATATGAGAATGATCTGTACATATCTCAAAGGATCCTTGATGAAAATGTTAGAAGGCCAAAGGAAGGCTGTAATAAATTATTTTCTTCAGCAGTCCATGCCTTTATAGTTACTCAGTTACTGAAAGGTACAGCGAATACAAGATCTCGACATCTTTATTGTTTGTTGACTACAAAAAAAAATAAGCATTTGGCTCAATAGAGCAAAATAACAGCCTTTAAAGTTTCTTAATCATATGTTAAGATCACATGAGATTCCTTTATAACTCAAGTGAATGTGTTATATTCTGATGATGAACATCAGTTGAAGCAGAGAGATGTCTGCTCACCAAAAATGTTTGCCATGGAGGATGCCTCAAAAGAAGTCACTACAAATGATAGTATCATCTAGATGCTCCTTTTGGAAGAGGATACTGCACTGATTATCTCGAACCCCTTTACAAGGCTTTCTCCAAAAAAAATGCATCATTACACCAAAGAAATTTACCTGTCTCTACAGATGTAGCATCTGTATGTTGGTCCACAGAGAGTTATCCCAGATTCAAGGCCTTCTGTAAGCCATTGACCACTTAGATCCCCAAATCATTAGCCTTCATCAATGGCACTGCTTTTACCAGTAACCAGAAGACACATTCATTTAAAGCAAAAGGCATTTCATTACACAACAAATTAAGTGACAAGAAAGAAATCCCCTCATGTACACATGTAATGCACTCTCCTGTAAGTAACTATATCACTAGTAGGGAAAGACATACATCAAATATGAATGACTGAGAGGCATGCAGGGACCCATGTCACCTGGGCGCATACATGTAGGATGTAGAAACACATATAATCAGGCTGCACACATCACCAGTACAAAGTATACTTCACATATTACACAGCTGCTGGTGGTCTTTCATGAAGCTTTCTGGCTTGTCTCTATTCTCTGTAGCATTGCCTGTGCTGCATGCATACCAGGGGCTTCTTCTGGTCTCATGGTCACTTCAGTTATTCATCCTTTTCAGGGCAAATTTGTGCTTTCCACTCTCATCTTCTGGAGATAGAGCAATCAGTAAGCCTCCTTCCGGAAGAAGAGGGCTAATGGTGTTTTAATGCATCTCCAAGAGCTACGTGCTACTCAGGCAAGCTACAATCAAAAGCTAACCAAGCTCGCATGTGAAGATGAAGTCTACGATATTCTCTATATGACCTGCTTCTGCTCCTCTCTGCTTTTTCTCTGATCTTAGTTTAATTCTAGTATGAGTTATAATTAGGAGGTGTTTTTAGTTTTTATCATACCCAAATGTGCATGCAACAAAGGAGCTAGAAGGTTGCTTTCAACCTTTTTTCAACATTTTGTCTTTATGATCTATGCAGATATCTGGGGCAAGGCTGATAGAAGTTCTGCCCCATTTCTGTCAGTTACAAAATTGCTGTCTTTTGCTGTTTGTTATCTTTCTTTACTGCATTCTGACCAGCATGCAAATACTGGTCTCTCTGCTCTGGAAAACGTAAATGGATGAAAAATGCCTGTTTTCCAAACTATGCCATTAAGTTTGATGGTCAATCTATTGCATTAGCACATCAGCATATATACATACCTATATACTGTGTTTATACACATATGTGTGTATATGTGGAAAGGCAGTGCAGATGGACAATTAATAGGATCCTGAATTGAATAGAAAGAAGGGAATAGGCTGACATTTACATTTGGGAAATTGAACAGTGCTTTTAATGATCCTGAGCTTCTGCTTGGGAAAAACAAAACAAAAAAAATTTTCCCTTTTGAATAATAAATATACAAATGTTTTCCCCTGGTTTCAAATCTTGGACCACAGTCTCTGAAGAATCAAAGTTGTGAGTGACCCAAAAGTCAGTGGTGAGACACAAGGTAATATAGGACACAGCATATTTCCAATGATGACTTATGCAAAGGAAGTGTTACAATGGATATCACTGAAAAAAATGTATGATTGGAAGAGGTAGGCTAGTTATGTGGTAAGCATGATGAATACAATATGGAAAGCCTGAGTACCAGACTTGTGCCAATGTAAAAATATACCTAGGAAGGTTTCTAAGATGTTGGATACTTCTGCTGTAAAGAACACGAGAAAACCTGGACAAGGTAAGAAGGATAGTATGTGGTTAGTATGGAAGGAATACATACATGTCAATGAGATTGCAGATTGATGGAAATTTTAAAGTGTATTAAATATAAAATGTACCTTGAAAAGGAAATTAGATATAGATATTCCTTTCAGGCATCTAGAATAATTTAGTAAACTTAATATTATTTTAATTCAACAAAATTCAATAGACATTTCAAAGTGCCTATTATGTGCAGTACAGTGCAAAGTGCTGGGGATGGCGGAGTACAACAATTTAAAAATTATATAGTCTCTGGCCTCAAAGGAGCTTGTAATTTAATTGGAGAGATATAATATGTGCCCAGATGAGTATGATAAAATATAAAATAGGAAAAATGTAGACAATGTGCTATAAAAATTAGGAAAGAAAGATCACTATGTAGGGAGAAGAGTCTAAGCTTCATGAAGGACATGACACCTGAACTTGGTCTTGAAGCAGATAAAGAATATTAATGCAAAAAGATAGATAGAAAATGTTTTCCTGCCATAGGGCACAACCTGCACAAAAGTGTGCCAGCAGGGGAAGATTGAGAGAAGTCGTCCGGTTTGACTGGATCATAGATTGCATAAAGGATGAATAGTATGAAATATGGCTAAAAAGGGAGATTGGTCCCAGAGTGCAGAAAGTATAGAAGACCAAGTAGAGGAGTTTGGTGGTTGTTGTTATTTAAGCGGACAATTAAAAGCTAATAAAGATGTTTGAGTAGAAGAGTCATCTGATGAGACCTGTATCTTAACAGATTAATATAGTAGCTATGTGAAGTATTTATTAGAGAGGGTAAAAAGATGGTCTTTTTAAAAAAGAGCCTATAAAAATGGTGTAGGAGAGAAGTGAGTAACCATTGTGATTGGAGAGCAAAGGACAGATGCATTTTGGAGGTTGGATTTGGAGGGAAATATTGTTTCACTATTGTAGTGGACATTGTTGCAGTAAATTTGATAGGACTTGGCAGTTGATTCCATGGTTGGGGTAAGGAAAAGGGAAGAGTTAAAGATGATTTCAGTCTTTTAATGATCCCATTGTTTTGCTCAAATCCATAAATACACACCAGCAGTCACAAAAATAAGTATGAAGCAGATGGAAAATGACATAATTCCAACACAATAAATCTATCATGATCTATTTTCTTCATTGATGACAGCTGAGTAATTTGCTCGGATTTTCCCCCCCTCCCAGTTTTCCACTGATCCTTCTGCCATTCGGTCCTCAAGTTTAAAAAGATACATTAAAAAAAATTAATTCCATTACTGTATTTATACTCTGTGCACAAAGAAGCTGGTGTTACTGTTGGCTGCCATGTTTCTCCACTTGTTAAAGAGATCAATTGTTTACTGACTGAGATAGTTTCTGGGCTCTTTTGGTATTCTGTTCTGGCAATTATTTTACATCCTATGATATAAAAAAAAGTAGTTAATAAATGATAACCTAGCATAGCTATCTCTTTGAGAATAGTGATTTGTTTCTAGTTCTTTTTGCTAATACAGTTGTCCTACTCTCAGTTTACAGGATCAAAAAGTAATAACTCATGTAAAATCAAGCATTTACTAAGTATCTACTATATATTAGGCACTGTTCTAAGTTTTGATTATACAAAGGAAGTCTAAAGACAATTCTTACTCTCAAGGAGCTCACAGTCTCATGGGAGTGATTACATGCAAATTATATACAAATAAGATACATACAGGATAAAACAGAGATATTTGACAAAAGGAAGGCACTAACATAAGAGAGACTTGGAAAGGCTTCTTATGAAAGATGCTCTTTTAGATGAAATTTGATGTAAACCAGAGAAACACAGAGGCAGAGATGAGGAGGAGAATTCCAGGCAAAGGGGATAGTCAGTGAAAATGCCAGACATTGGAAGATGAAGAATCTTATATGAGGAACAGCAAGGAGGCCAGTGTCACTGTGGGTCATACAGTATGTGAAGGGGAATAAAATATAAGAAGATTGGAAAAGGTAGGAGGGAGCAAGGTTACGAAGAACTTTGGATTTCAGAGAACTTGATCCTGGAGGCCTGATAGGCTGTCACTGCAGTTGATTTGAATAAGGGGGTGATATGGTCATACTTGCACTTTAGAAAGATCAATTTAATAACAGATGGACTGGAGTGGGAAGATCCTTGCCACAGGGAAACCAACCAGAAAGATATTACAATAATCCAGGTGATGAGGACCTGCACTAGGAGCAGCAGTGTCAGAGAAGAGAGGTTATGAAGGTAAAGAAGAGGATGATCTATAGTGCCAAAGCTGCAAAGAGGTAAAGAAGGATGAAGACTGAGAAAAGGCTATTAGATTGGCAATTTAAAGATCACTGGTAATTTTAGAGAGGGCAGTTTGGGTTGAATGATGAAGTTGGAAATCAGACAGATAGTTCAGAGTAGTCTAAGAGGAAAGAAGTAAAGGCATAGATTATAAACTGCCTTCTAAACGAATTTAGCCACAATAAAGAAAAGATATGGGACAATAACTAGTGGGGACAGACAGATCAAATGATGATTTTTTGAGAATGAGGGGATATATGCGTGTATTTTGTGGGTAGTAGTGGACCCAGTCAGTAATTTTATTTTCTCCAGCTTTGTTCAGCAGCATGTCAGTAGGAACAAAAGCAATGTATGGTGAAAGTTATCCAAGGCTTGAGGCTCAGTAAGGCAAGAGTGGCAATAGGATAAGGGGGCAAGGAATTCAAGAGAAGAGATATAGTGGGTTTTTTAAAAGAAAAGAATCTGGAAGACTGCCATATCTTCAAAGTGTTTAACTATGACATAAATACACAATGCACTTTTCAACAAGTGATCCAAGGTACCAAGAACCTGCTTGCATATGGCATGTTTTCCTAGCAGGCAGGTGTGTTCACCCTCCAGCAGCTATTTGCCTGCCTGATTTGGATAACAATCAGAGAAGAAAATGATTTTCAGATCACTCTATCACTATGTTGTGTCTCTATTCCTCACAAAATGTCCCTTATTGATATATATTTGCCCCTCAATGGGACTACTTTTGTCCTTCTTCCTTCAATCCTTCACATTTTTTCTCATCTTCTCAAATGTTCTTCTTTTCTCCAAAAATAATTTTTAAAAGTGTATTTACTTATTAAACCATATATTTGTTACATATATTCATGATATTTTGTACTGGATTCATTAGCATCTCCTAAATGAGCCTCTCTTCTCTATCATCTCTTTCTTTTCATCTACCTTTCCTGGATGATAGTAATCCTGACACTGACAGTTCCCTTTCCTCTTGATTTGGAGCAAAAGATACATTACTTATCTCTTTGTCTTACTTGCATGGGCTTATGTGAAATATGGTTACTATGTATACATTTACTATATATCTTTACTTCTTTTTTTAAGATTTCCCATCAATCCAGAGATTTACTTGGCTAATTTGGGCAATTTCAAGATCATTGTATTTGCTGCCTTGAACATTTAGCAAAAAATAGATTTTAAATACTTTTTCAGTATAGGAGTAATTGGTATTATTGGCTGTTGTAGAGTAAAATGTTTCTATTCTTTTCTTGGCAGAATTATCATTTAAAAAGCAAGAAGATAAAACTCTTCCATTTGAGGTAAAGGGTACATGCCCTAATAAAAATCACTCTTTTTTTTTTTTAAACAAAAGAATAAAGTGTTTACAAACGGAAAGGGGGAATTATCCAAAAAGGTATCACTAACCTTTTACACAATAAATGTAGTGATGTTTTTAGTGAGAATATCTGTACAATTAAATGTGCTACAGTGGTGTCCTGGAACAGTTTAGACTTCTGTTCTCAAACTATAGAAAAAAAGAGACATAGCTTTTGTTCGTGATAGATTCCAAGGTGGGATTCTCAGGATAAGCCTCTACAGAGTCTTACGAAATCCTTATCAAACACATATCCAGGGTTCTGAAAAGCAACCTGGAAATGCTTACTAAATCTCTTTCAATTACTTCTTTTTTTTCAGACCCCATTATAATAGCAACTTTAGCAGCTTGTAGGTAGCTTTCTCACAGGACTGAAGACAGTTATGAACTTACTCTAGGTACTCCCAAATATGTGTGTAAATGTAAAAACAATAACATTCCTATCATGAGAAGTATAAATATTATAAAGATAAACCCCACGTTTTATAGAGTTGGGTATATTTGTATGGTTTGGACCAAGTCAAACATAATCCTCATTTATTTTCTTTGTATACAATATCTTTATCATTATGAAGGTTTGAGAATACTCTGTCAATAAGTGGTGCTGATCCTTAACCAGAAGATAGTAGATTTGAAAGGGTAGATGCTAAAATTTTTTTTAAAGTGAAGTTATATATCACTGCAATAGGCAAGATCACTAGATTATTGTGTCTTTGAAAAGGCAACCTCCAAAAAATGAGGTTATGTATGGAAAAGATAGACTTTCAAACAGAGAGAGATGGAAACAGAGAGACAGAAAAGAGATAGCAAGAAAGAAAAAAAATTAGGGAAGGCAGAAAGAAGAAATTATTAATAAATAGGCTCTTAGGTCTATATCCTAAGTGACTAAGGAAATAAAGGGACAACTAGAGCCATAATATCTGAAGAAAACTTATTGAGGTTAGGTAATTAGGTTCAGACTCCTAGTTTTACAACTGTGATACAAACAAATTGTATCATATAAATAATTAAAACTTATTCTTACATGTCTCTGTGGAAGGTCTGCACTGATGCAGTACTCTATTATACAAGGATCTTTTCATTACAAAACATTTTTACAGAATTTCAGATTTACAAAATTAATTAAAACGCAGCATATTCATTTTCTAGAACCAAAAATCTTGAATTAAAAACATTTTCATGTAGTATCCACTGAATTATGATTTTGAAATTCTTGATATTGGGGAGAGTTATGGTTTAAAATCAGATCATTAGAAAGGTAAGAAAGGGAAGTAGTTCAGAAATATACTGCAGAGTTCTTTCTAAGTACATTGAGTGGTACAAATTAGCATGCCACAGAACTAGCCAACCTCCCAGCTTCTTCCTCACCAAAAGTTTTCATTGTAATTTATTGGAGGATTTTTTCCATAAAAACAGTATTCTAATTTTATAAGGAAAATCAACAGAAAAATACGATTCATTTGTCAGAAGTTTCACTTAACAGCTAAGTCTGTTAAACTATATTTCACAAAGCAAGATATTCCTCTAACCTGACAAAGACTAAAATACTTGGGAGGGTTATGTTCCATTTGTCATTTGGTTATTCAAACTGGAATAACATTTCTCTATAGAAACAATTTATGCATAGTGATTCGATTCTCAGGCCAGCCATAAGGATCTACATTAATCCATGATGTACTTGAAGTACCGTATTTCACTAATCTAACCAATTACTATATGTAATAAGGCATCTATCAAGAAACTCTCCAAATTGGGAGCCAGGAGTCTAATCCCCTCCTCACCCACTTCTACAGGGAATCCTTGTATTATAGCCTCTGCTACGCTCCCCACCCACCCCCTCCTTCCCTCAGCTATAGACCATGGCCTCCGACAGAGACTCCACACTTTGGGGATGGGGAATGGGGGAAGGGGTGGGTAGGGTGAGGCATGAAAAAGCATCCTGGGGGTGGAGAGCATTACCCGGTTTGGAGGTAAGTGACTGTAGGAGCCTGACACAACCCCGCCAGTGAGTGTCATCACTGAAAACCTCACCCAAATCCTACACCAACTTCCCACCACCACTTTTCTTTCCTTCCCAGGCTTGCCTGCTTCCTTTTCTACCGCCAACACCTGTTGCTTCCAACCAGGGTGACCCTATTCCCAGGTCCAACTGTAGAACAAAACAGTCTCCCTGCTTCTCCCCTGACTATCCCTGAAGCCAAGCACACAACATTTTTGAGGTTTTTTTTTTTTTTAAGGTTTTTATTGCTAGTAATATTAGGGAAATGGGATAGAAGGGCTTTGCCCTAGCTCTTCCCCCAGCCCCCATATTCCCTTTCATTTAGATCTGCAGAGCCTCACAGAGGATCTAATAGCTGCTGGTATTTATATAGTGCTTTCAGATATGCATATATCTTCTCTTTTGCTTTGTTGTGCACAAAGCACAGAAGTAAGATTTATGTGAGACTGAAAGTAAAACCAAATCTGGGTACTTCATCATAGAAGGGTGGGGAATGAGGGTGGTGCTCTAATTCAGAAGAGTACAATGGGACCTTTGGGGTGAAGGAAATGGGATGTTTCCGAGGAGGCCTTCCCAGGGCTGTTACAAAAGTAATGAGAAGGGAAGGAGGAGCTGCCGTTGGAGGTGCAGGTGGAGATGGGGCCTGGCAGGGATAAGGGGAAGTAGAAAGAAAGAATCGTGGTCACACTAACAGGAGTGAAGCTTTCCTTTGGCTATTGAGCATCTCAGGGTATCCATTCATACATAAAGTATTTACATAAATTGGAGGACAATAATTGTTTTTCTGTACTATGTCTGGCCAAGGGAATTGATTAACTTTTATCTTTTAGAATCTATAGAAACCTATATGAAAATCAAAGTTATATAAAGTAATATGATAATTCTTTTGGGGAGGGGACAGATGGATCTCAGACTAACAGAGAATAGTCATCTTCTGGCTTTATGCAATTGATCCTTCACATTCAGCACAATAATTACAACTGTTTAATAATAGGGTTATTTGCTTATGTTAAAGGGTATGAATAATATTATTTTTGATATTTACTAATTACCAATGAGTATTAAGTAGTTTTGTTCAATTCTTCCTAGCTACCTGTCAAAACACTTGAAGTTAAGAAGAGCCTGCCACTGGTAGAAATGAAAGCGGAGCCTTCACATTCATCTTTGATTATTCAAGAAGATGCTGAAACAAAAAATGAAAGCCTTCCTCCTGAGGAAAGTACCCCTTTAACTACTGTTTCCTTAAAAGAGAAAGATATTGGTGTAGAATCTATAGATGGAAGAGATGATAAACTAGTATTCGAAAACCCTGAACCCAAAGGAGAAGCATCAGAAAAAGAAATCACAGATTCAACTTCACTGGAACTAAAGCCAAAACAGAGCCATTCAGGCCTAGAAAGAGTAGACTCAATTCAGTCAGAAACAAAGTTGAAAAGTATCATTTTTAGCCCAGATCAAAGAAAGAAGAGCACAGATGAATCTGGATTAGAAACAAAAAGGCAAACTTTAAGGCAAGAAAGCAGAAGGAGCTTAGAACTTCTTCAGGAACCAAGAGGAGACACCGAAGCAGTCACAAAGGTATCTATGTTCCCATGAAGGTGGCACAACCATTTAATAAAACGGCAACAACAGCAGCAAACCCTCAAATTAAAAAGAATTGGAAAACAGTCATACTCTCTAAGGCATATATTTTTTAGACTCTTGACATTCTGATCCTACTTCTAATCTTACTAAAAACAGTTGAAACAACAGCAAAGTGGTCTGATCAGTTAAAATAGTTTCGTTTCTTGAAAATTGCAAATTCAGCTAAATTTCTGGAAAAACAAGGGGGGAAAGTTATGGGTGTGTAGAGAAGCCCAGAAACTAGAGATGTTTTAACAACAATTTTCTTGTAAGTGCTATTTTTTTTAAATTTTAAATTAATTTATTTTAGTTTTCAACATTCATTTCCACAAGATTTCAAGTTCCAAATTTTCTCCCCATCTCTCCCCTCCTTTCACCCCAAGACAGCATGCATTCTGAATACTCCTTCCCCTAATCTGCTCTCCCTTCTATCACCACCCCCCTTCTCTTATCTCCTTCCCCTTCTATTTTCCTGTAGGGTAGGATAGATTTCTGTACCCCATTACCTATATATCTTATTTTCTAGTTGCATGTAAAAACAATTTTTAACATTTGTTTTTAAAGCTTTGGTTTCCAAGTAAGTGCTATTTTGTTGGAAGCACTCACTTCCTCTGTATTTTAAATGGGTGTGGCTTATAGTTTATAATGAGAATGAGCTATGAATAAGACTGTAGACCTGAACCAGTATAGAACCTACCTCAAAAGAGCAAATATTTTGCTTAATGCTTTCCATCTTTATTTGAACTAGTGAGACAGGCAGCTGTAGGGACAGTGTGATGCCATGGAGAGAGCGCTGGACTGAAAGCAAATTACTATGTAACCTTGAGCAAGTCTCTCCTGTGGCTTGAGCTTCCTCATCTATTAAAGTGAGGGGGATGGCTTCTCTTAAGAAGCAGGAGGAGACAGAGGAATGTTAGCTATTGTGTTGTTTAACACTAGCATTTTGTGGTCAGAGTACTGGATCCAGCAGGATGAAGTCCCTTGCTCAAGTTTGTCTTGCCAATTTGCCAAAGTTTGGGGAGACGGTGCTCTAAGAAGGGTAAAAATGAGGGCATTGCGGGTAAATGCATGGCACAGAAATTTATTCGCTGGGAGGGAGGGCTGCCAATAATGATTAAGTTCTGGGGGAATTGCAATAGACTACTCCCCACTTGAGGGAACCCACAAGACAAACAGCAGAATAAGACCCAACATACAACAGATGCTGTGGCAAGTAGGAGGGTATATGGCAATTGGCTTAATGTCAATGTACAAGAGGTGGAATTACTCAACGTCATCCATTCCAGTTTCACATGCATTACTTTCCCTCCTCAACTAGACTTCCAGACCTTCAAGGTCTAAATTCTGAGATTATAAATGAAAGTTTCTTTGTTTATAAGTAAAGTATTTGATTCAAGTAGATCTTTGGAGCTAGGAATCTCAAACTGCTCCATATCTCATGGTTTGCATTTCCAGCCTATTTCCTGCATGATGGTTAGTATGTAGGATAGTATAGAATTTTCTGTGAATGAGGGAAGTTAATTTTAGCAGTTTTAATTTTTTAAAATACTCAGAAGAAAATGAACCTCCAAATTTTTAGTCTTGAAAATTTAAGACTATAAAGTGAAAGCAAACTTCCTGAATAGTCTCATTGTTTTAAACAATATAAAAAGTGGGTTTAAATTGTCGTTACGTTGGATATTTTAAAACTAATGGATAATTCAGTGAGTGTATTTTAGGTATTTTAAAAACTTTTACTTGAATAAAAACTAGAATGTTGAGAGGCTTGAGGCAAGAGAAACCCAATTAGGAGACTATTGAATTAATCTAGATGAGATGATGGGGGCTTGAACTAAGGTGGTAACTATGTGAGTAAAGAGAAATCATTGATTTCAAGAGATATTATGAAGTAAAAAACAGCGAAATTTAGTGTTCTTTTATATGTATGTGCTGCTTATGTGCACTCTTTCCTGAAGTAGCACCCTTCCTAGAGGTATTTGTTGCCTATTACCTTATTTATCTTTGCTAGCTTCCATCCTCAATTCAGGCACTTAGGTATGGTTTTTTATCAACCTGGGGGTGAAGCCAGGTACCTTAGCTCTTCTTTGGTCATTACCTCATGGACATAGTCAAAAGGTTAGTTGGCCCAGAAATTTTCTTCCCTTAATTAGCAAAAGCTATGCCCGCTTTGTGTGCAAGTGGTCTGGTTTTACCAAGAGTTGTTTAAAGAGGCCACCAAAGGGTCTGGACCTGGCAACTGTTACAAAGAGGAGTCATTAGAAATATTTAAAACAATGATCTTTGGAAGGAGTCAATAAATTTCCATAACTTGTCGATTAGCAGCTAATTGATCAGTATTGAGAATTTAAATTTTAGGGTTTTATTTTTAAAAAATATTCTTGGAAAAGATATCAAAACATGAAAGGCCATAGTTGATAAAAGTCCAGCAACTTGATCAACACTTTAGTACACTAATGGCTTACATTGGTATGATAAATGAAAGAGATGTTAAACTGATATGATAAATGGAAGGTAAGTTAAAACGTTTTTTAAACAATCATTTTTTAAAATTTTGAGTTCCAAGTTCTTTCCCTCTCTCCCACACCTTCACCTCCTTGAGAAGACAAGCAATTTTGTTTCACAGGATTATTGTGAGGAAAGCGCTTTGTAAGACTTAAAACATTATATAAATGGAGCTATTTTCAGAAAAGTTGATATGATAAATGGAACTTTAAAATCTTGGCAGTGCTACCAGATGTGACCTAAAGCTATTCTGGTAGAAAGGCCGTATTCGTTTTTTCATGGTTCAGAGATCTATTATGATAAATGTTTTCCATGATGCCATTTCTTTTTTTTTCTTTCTCTTTCAGTTAAATTCTTCTCTAGGCTTTGGAGAATGGTTATATGTCTTAATCTAAAAGGCACCATCACCTCTTCTTCTCTGCCTGACTTCCTCTAACAATACACTCCTAACTTAGTATTCTGCTCCAGTGTGCTGGCACCTGTCAGAGCAGTTAAATTTTGTTTGAAATTTTTTTCATCTTTATGTGAGATTTTCTTAAAAAGTAGAATTTTAAAAAACTTTCAGTCATAGAATAATGTTAAGTTGGTAAAAGTGAAATACTAATGATATCCCTGTTCACTTTGTCTTGTTTGCTTCAGGTGGCTTTTCCTGGACATGTTTCCTTTAGTTTTTCACATGAAGCCGTACAATTATTTTCAGATGCAGGTACGTTATTGGTAATACTTCAGTACTTAATATAATATTATAAGTATTTAAATTATTATATGATATTTAAATCATCATCCTGGTAAAACCTGAAACCAGAATTCAAGGCATAAGCTTTCTTATTGAGTTTTGAATTTGAAAACAGAAGTTTTGTCTATTATAGTAAATGACAAATGGAATGTAAAGAACATGAGATTAAAGTTTTGATGGGAAACCTAACTGCTTTTAATAATCAAATAAAAGGAGAAATAGATAAATATATCTCAGGAGTCATCTAATTTAATACACTGTTCAGTGACTTTATGAAATCAAACTTGAGATACTAACAGACTAGCTATATTGTTTAATTAATCTATTGAAAAGTTGTAGAGGATAAGGCTTCTAGGTAGGGGAAAGGAAAGAAAATGTCTCGGGAAAAAATATTTGTGTTTCCAGAAGTGCTTTCCAGTGAGTAGACAAAGGGGAAGGGTACAAGGAGGTATTGTGAATGTGTAAGTGGAGCATGACTAGAGCAGAGGCGGTTTCCCAAGAGTAGCAGCTTGTCTTGAACTCTTTCTCACTTTAAAGTGTAGTTAAGTTGGTAAGAAGAATAACACCATGAGTGGAAATGAAATGCTAGAATAAATAATGGGTTAGATTGAATACAAAGACAAAAATAAAATAGTGCCTATAATGAAGGAGCTCTCATTTTATTTAGGGATACAAACTATACGTAGATACATAAGTATAAGGCAATTTGAGAAGAGAAAGGTCCCCAGTAACTAGGGGATCAGGTAAGGCTTCAGTGGGAACTAGAGCTGGGTCCTGAAAGATGATTAGGATTCTAAGAGACAGAGACCAGGAGCGAGAGCAATCTAGTCGTGAGGGACAGCCCAAGTGCAGACACAGAGGTAGGAGATGGAATGTTAACTTTGAGGAACAGTAAGAAGTCCAGTGTGGATAGAATTACTGGGCTGCTCGAGATAGAAAGACTTATGTCTCAAAGGCCTAGTGTTATCTTCATTGGGTCCTTACGGCATTGCTGGTTTCAAAAGCATCAGGACCTTGGACATGAGACCTGGCACAAAGCCAAGTTAATTTTGTAGTATCTTCTGTGTATCCCTAATCCCCTGCCATTGACATAGTTGCAAAGCTGGCACCAAGTGCAAGTTGTCTGGCCCCTGAGGATCTAGTCTTCTGTTCCAAACTCTGTGTTATTTCCACCCATAACTCTTCTATTTGGAGAGCAAACACTGTCTTCAATAAAGCACTTCATTATCACAGGACCTTGGAGGGTAGGGGTCTCAACTAGCTTCCTTAGTCCCGTGGGAAGCAAATTCACACAGTGAGCGCTCTGACCTCTCTAATCCAGAGCTGTCGCCTCCTGAAGCGAAAACAACGCTTTCCATCTCCTTCTCCCCATACTTTCATCTCCATCCAGCCCAATCCATTACATCCTAGTCCCAGAATCAAAGAAGAGTTGGAAAGGAATTCAAAAGGACAACACTTTGTCACAGCAGGACTACTATGGAAGTGTTTTGCATGACTACACATCTATAACCTGTAGGGAGATGCTTGCCTTTTCAATGAGGGTGGGTGGGGAGGGAGGAAGGGAGAAAATTTGTAATCCAAAGTTTTAAAAACACATGTTTAAAATAAAAAAACGAAAAATTTAAAATTTAAAAAAAAAGTACAACCCATGCCCGAGAAAGAATTCCTAAGTGTTCTACGCATCTGATAGATTTTTCATGAAAACATCCAATGAGAAGAAAGCCATAGTTTGGGCCAAACTGCGTAGGGTTTTTAAAAGCTAAACAAAGGAGTTTATATTTTATCCGAGAGACAATAGGAATCCACTGGAATTCATTGACTAGGGGAGTCACATGGTCAGATTTGCCCTAATGGAGAGGGTAGTCAGCAGTGTCAAATGCAGTAGATAGGTCAAGAAAAATTAAGACTGAGAAAAGACCATTAGGTTTTGTAATTAAGAGATCACTGGTAACTTTGGAAAGAGCAGTTTCAGTTGAATTCTGAGATGAGAAAGCAGACTGCAAAGGGCTGAAGGGGGAAGTGAGAAGAGAGAAAGTGGAAGCAGTGAACGTAGTCAGCTTTTTCAAGGATTATGATGGAGAAAAAGAGTTTCTTTGGAATTATACATAGCTTTTCATAGCCATATTCTAATTATGATTCTCATGCCAAGTTTCAATGCTACTCATAAGGTTAAATTTGTCTCCTTGAATTAGAATTTCTCATTAATCTTGCTTTTTAGCCATACTTTGTGCATATGCATATAGATATCTAAAAACATGAGTCATAACTTGCTCCTTTCTTTCAGATTCTTTCTCCTATGAATTTCTGGGTGTCTCTACTGCTGTGTTTTCTTATATTGAAGCTAATGGTTTCTGGTTTGGTGGATGTACATAAACAATTTTCTCCAATTAAAAATTTGAGCTATAATAGAACAAAACTTTTAAACAAAACACTTAAATAAAACATTAAAACAGATTTAAAGCAGTGTCATGACACTCCCCAGTGGTTTTTTTACTTGGCATATTTGGCCTAGAGTCATAAGAGTGAGTAACCTTCAAAAACCTTTAACAAATAGGTTACATTAATACATTTAGAGATTTTAACTAAATTACTTTTTTGCAAAGTAGTATTATCGTTTTAGAGATCTCTAATGACACTCTCAAAATGCCCTCCTTGAATTAGTAGAACCTTTAAGTAAGAATTTATGTGATAGCCCCCAAGCCTTATTATTGCTTGGGTGGTATGGAATTGGCTTCATTAAATAGAATCAAGATCAGTAACAATAAGATTTCATACTCTATGAATTCATAGTCTATCAGTTTTCAAACAATGCTACTACAAACTCTATTTGTCTGAACACCTATATAGAGTGAAAGACAGCAGGATACCAAAATAGTTGTTATTTGGTTTAGTCTAAAATTAGGTAAGCAGAAACTATAAGCAGAATGAGCTATATGATATACTACTACTGCAACCATAATCAGCTAATTGTTTCTTAATTCTTTTCTAGATGTGCTTAAAAAAAGATGAGATTGAAGGACTAATTTTAAAAATATGCTGAAATACAGCTTAGAATTTTTTGAACAGCTGAAGAAGCAGTTCAAATTAGTTAGGAATTTGACAATCAGAAATGAATAGGGCCTTTTTTTGTATTTTAAGGTGGTTTTTTTTTTTTTAATGTAAGACTGAATCAAAATTGTCCTAGATTCTGCAAGTAATGATTTAAGGTTATAAGCAAAGGACTATCTATCTATCCATCTATCTATCTAATTATCTGTCTGTATCTCTGTCTATATGTATGCATATATACATATACATTTGTGAATATATGTATATACACAAATACATATATATAACAAGATTTATGTAACTATAAGTAATCATAGCCACTTACATCTCCACACCTTTTTGTGCTTCTTTATAATACCCCTTCCCCATGTCTTCCCACCTCCTTTTCCATCTATATTATTAAAAATAGTATGCTAAATGACTAGTTACATGACACCATGCTGGGCACCATAAAAGTTAGGTATGCTCCCTGCCTTTAAACACCAACAGTCAATAATGTTTTTGACAATCATCCTATTCAGTTAACATTCCTTCCTTCAGTGTCTATTATGAGTAAGGAGGTACTATGCATACAAAAACAAAAATGATATAGTCCCAGTAATCTATTGATCATTTCACAGTGTATATAAGAATTACCAAGAAGACATATATATATATATATATATATATATCTCCATACATATGCATATATATGTGTACATACAGATGTGCATATATATACATTATCTACACGTATGTATGTATATATATATACACTGTATACTTGTGGATACACATATATGTGTTGTATATGTACAGATGCATATATGCACGTGTGTATATTCACACAGACTCCCATCCACGTAAGTCCTTTCTTTAATCCCTAAACACACTATGTAAACTCAGCGACTTGTCTGCAGTTACATAGCTATGACGTTGTCAGGCTTCTGACTATGGGTCCAGTGTACTTTCTATTATATGACAGTGCTTCTTACAGCTGCTGTATGATATGCTACTACTGCAACCATAATCAGCTGATTGTTTCTTAATTCTTTTCTAGATGTGCTAAAAAAATATGAGATTGAAGCACATATTAGCTTAGAAGAAGATAAAGACAAGGATAAGAGAAAGAAAAAGTACAAGGAAGGGGTAGATGAGAAGAATGAAATAGATGAAGAGAATGAGGTAAATGGAGATCAATAATCCTACTAGTTTATTTAATCTTTAAAATTTAGTTTGACTTAATCTTTATTTAAAGTGATCTGCCATGGCAACAATCTTCCTAAAAATCTTACAAAGGAATGTGTGAAGAAATTTTAGTAAGCATCTGTTGTTTGATTATTTGCAGATTTAATTGGTGTTGCCCAATCATTACAATAAACTTCTAATACATAGTATGTGACAGAAAATATAGGATACTAACATAAGATGTAGGATAGAGTACCCAAGAAATCAGGGTGGTAGCCTAAACATTGTCATTTTTGTGGTATCAGGAAGTCTGCATACCAAGAAATATTAATCTACCATCTCCTGAAATTTCATGAATAAAGATGCTTTCCTTTGGGTATTGAAGGCTTTTTAATATTTAAGAGTCTCTGGTAAATATACAGCTACCTTGTTGAATCATTAAAACTCACCCAAAAATATTCAGCTACTAAAGTACCAAAAGGCTCTCTAAGGCTGTCCATCCCACGGGATAGACTTCAAAGAATAGTTCAAGAATCTAGTATTCTGAGGAGTGCAGTGAACTAGAATGTGGGTACACTTTAGAGTGTGAGTATGGGGCAGGGTACATTCAGATGAGTTTAATTAGGATCAGCTAAATTTGACAGGGAGTATTCAGTCTTGCAAGAAACCTACTTTGGAATTCAGCTATCTAAGAGCTCCAGTAAGCAAATAGCAAAGCACAAACCACCATGTGTGTGCCACTGTGCACAACACACCTCACTAAGTCCATCTTCATCATAAAAAAAAATCTGACAATATTAACAACTTAAATAGCACTACAAAGGGCTTTCCCTGCAAGCAGTAACTGATTTAGAAATGCTACAGAAAGTTTACTTGCAGGAAAGCAAGGAAGGGACATAGGCATGGATGAGTGATACAGGGACCCAGTTACTGGAACTGGGACACATGGATAGGACTCGCTTATCAGGCATAATAATCCCATTTTACAGAATGAACAGACCCAGAGAATTAAGTGATTATAGTACTAATTGTCTATAGCTGAAATTCAAATTCTGATTATCTAGCTTGTAGTGGTTTGACAGTATGTCTGAGAACTGGTACATTGTGAGTATGCTTGAACTATGAAGGATGATGATTTAACTTGATTGAAGCTAGGTCAGGATTAAGATATCTAGGCTCTAAACAACATCAAGCATAAAAGGTCATCAAAATTGATTTGTTTTATAGAAAATAGATTGACTATAAAAACAAAAACATTTGTGTGTGTGTGTGTGTCTGTGTTTGTATAGCCATATCATAAGAATACAAAAGAAGGGAAGAAGAAAGAGGGAGGAAAAAGGATGTTGGAAATAACCTCTGGTACCCAAATAGACACAGTTAAGTGAGACAGACTCGGGATGAATGAAGCAATTGAAACCTTTAATAAGCTTCCTGCAGGAAGGGGTGTGGAACTTGAGATGAGCACACACACACTACACAAGTGAGAGCAATCCTTATATTCCTATTCCTGGTCACAAGTCCCTCCCAGCTGACTTTCATGGGTAGAAGTCAGCACAGGGCACAGATTTCCCCAAAGGCCCACCATGTGGTGTCTTAATCCGCCCAGAGGTGGAGAAGCATGAGCACTCTAAGTAAAGCTTAACCTTGGTCCCATTTTCAGCCTCCCCAACCACACCACCAATTTCACCCGATTTTATCTGGTTCTTGAAGCTCCTCACCCAGAACTACTTTCCTCTCAATTTCCTTATATGAAAATATAACCGTTTCTAACTTCTCACAAGGAGAAGGAAATAGAGATGAGTTCATCATCTCATTAACTGAGGGGAGATAGATTTCATATCACTTTGGCTAGGGTTATAAGATCTTTCTCTACTGCTCCCACCCTTCCATATGCACTCTCCTGTGTGTACAGACATGAATGCATACTTTCAGTCCATCCCTACCATTAACTATAGTTGCTGTTAAAACACATAGGACTTTATTTGAAAAAGGACTTAGAAGAATGAAACAACTGACGAAGTCAAAACCAATCTATTTAGCAATACTACATAAAATTTACTTGTAAGAAACCAAGGAAGAACTTAGACATGGAAAAATAATACAGGAACCCAATTACTGAAACTGGGGACATGACCAGGGCTTACTTGTTAGAAGTAAGGCAAAAAAGCAGTTACTAGAAAAAACCAAGGTACAATGGTCAGAGATGGGATGACCAAAAGGCTAACATGTTGCTGAGTGGGGAGCTATGGTTCCAGAGATGATTTTATTACCTTTCCTTGGGGCTGGCCTGTTACAGAACCTGTGGTAAGCAGTGAGAAAATGAGGCTAGCATAAAGATAACTAACTGGTCATTCCATCTGGAATGCCAGATTAAAGAGATAGGATTTTATTATGTAGGTATTTGAGAGCCAGTGCAAGTTTTGATCAGGATCATACTATCAGATGTTTAATACTATTGAAATAAAACTTGATTCAATTATGTTAATTGGAGAAGCACCATAGTGTAGAAGAATGAATGCTGAATTTGTGATTGGAAGATCTGGCCTTGAATTCCATTTCAAACTCTAGTTATGTGACCCTGAGTAAATCACTTCATGTCAGAGACTCAATTTCCTCTGCAGTAAGATGGGGATAATAATGCTTGCACTATCTACTTCACAAAATTGTTGTGAGGAAAGTACTCAGAAACCTTAAAGTACTATACGAATCTGAGTTATTGTTATTATACCCAGGTTCACTAAAGGTATTGCCAATTTGATTAATCTTATGTGTAATGGTACTCCCTCCCCACATCCAACATTACACATCAAATGAGAAAATAAATGGGAAAATGCTCTGAAAAAAAGTAGTGATGTGCTATACTAACAAGAAGTATATTTTTTTCCTACATATGGACTGCCATTATGGATGTGTATTGATATGCTAGATAACTCCAATCCCCCTAACAACTATCTTGACAGTTCTTATCATCTTCACTTAACAGCATAAAGAGAATAAACTCAAAGTTTTGACTTTCCCATTTTCTCTGTTGTGAATCAAGAGTTATTGAAAAACCCATCTTGGCATAATGTCTGTTGCATCATCATCATCATTATCATCATCATCAAGGGTTTTTCAAAGTAAAGTTTATTCATATTGCATTGTGTTCAACTTCTGCCTGAATTGGTGTGCAGTTTTTCTTTTTCTTTTCTTTTTTTTTATGATAATAGCTTTTTTTCTTTGTGAATGATTTGAGCTCACAAACTCAATAGGAAGATTTAATCAGGGCTGTAATCTTTATATTGGTAGACTTTGATATTTGGAAAAACCTACCATGTTGGAGTTTTTGTGTGAAAAATACTCTTAGATTTAAAGTTGCCCTTTTACTATGGATAAAGTACTGTCATAAAAGAGTTCAGTGACCTCTGGGAGGAATTATGTAGTCTCAAACTGGAACTTCGTTTTTTTCAAGGTTGTTATTAGGAATATATATGCAGAGGACTACCCTTTTAGAGAAGCACATCCTCAAAGCATGCCACTATTTGAGGGCGTGAGTCCTCAGTTATCCTAGCTTATTAACTATTATACTTGTTATCTTTTCTGGTACATCTATATACATATTTTAGGCATATAAAGTCAAAATGGTACTTAGCACAGTAGGCACTTAATAAATGTTTTTGATTTATTTATTGTTTATATTGATTGATTGTTTATTGATTGAAATATATAAAACTGATAAAAACTCTGATATGCTAAATTAAAAATAAATTAAAGCAAATATTAATTTGTCTAGTTCATATTTTTTAAATTAAAAAAATATACATATATACATGTGTTGTATGATGTGAGCTCTTAACTGATGAAATTCATCATTGTCTCTTTTGGTAATAGTCTAATCATTGCCTCTACCAAACTGCCTACAGATATAACACTAAAATGTTGTCATCACAGAACTGGTTTTGAAACCCTCCCTTACCATTGCTAGATGAATTTGAGTCTTATTAAATAACCAGGCTACATTGTGGCATGGTGCCACATTTTAAGTGCAGGTCAAATGGAGCACTTCTGACACCTTGCCTTGAGGGCAGATGCCAAATAACTTTACATTTGCCTTTGTGAAATTTTAAAAGATTATCCAACAACATATTTTACATTTCAGAGTCAGCCTATGTTTCTATTACAGTGTAGGTTATTTTTATCCTTATAGGACTCATTGGTGGAGTCAGTTACTATCTAATGAAACACAGATAATATTATTAATTGAATTGGTATTTAAAAGTCTATTATGGGGTTTTTTGTTAAAAAATATGCTTTTAGGCATTGTGAATTGGTTCATCAAATATATGCATACAGGCTGATTTTTACTTCTGGGAGCTAAAGAAAATCGATTTTAAAATGTCCATTTTTCTGTCAAATTGTAAATGTTCCTTTAAAAAACAGTACCTTTCTGGTTATGCTTATGATCATACTGAGCAGAAATGTGCTCACAGAAAATTAGGCAAGGATATCTTATAAATTCAAAATATGAAATGCTTCAAAATTTCTTACTGCTGTTAATTGTTTTTATTTTGTTTCAATATTACAGTGCCAGAAAACCATCATTATGAAGAGGGGAAAGTTTGAGCCTTTTTTAAGGAATATTATTGAAATTCCCATTGAAGAAGATAATGAAAGAGTCCAAAATATGCCTATTTGTACAGTTGTTAAAAAGGATACATCAAGTGCAGAGATGATAGAACATGAAGATCAAGACCCTCCTTACGCACCAACTTCATCAAGCTTAACAGAAAATTCAGAAAATTCTTCCAGGGACTCCAATCCTGACATCTTTACAATAAAATCTTTAGATACTGAAGAGATGGAAAGAGGACTATCAAGTCTTTCTTTAGAAAGTTTTGAAAGAGAATCAACCTTTACTATAGATATAGATTTGGTTGGGAAAGGGCAGGAAAACTTCCTTTCAGAGCTATTGGAGCTTAAACCAAGTCTGGAAAAATTAGAAAAAACAGTGATTCTAAAATCGATTTTAAATGATGATTTGAAGGACCTTTCAGAAGAATTATTTTCAAAACAAGGATTCCTTATGGAGATTGAGGTAGAAAGGGAAGAACAGAATTTGAAGACCTCAAATGACAACACATTAGTTAGCTTTGTGACTAACATATTGGAGAATGCTCAAAATGAAATCAAGACTGTGCAGAGTGAACAGACTGAGCTTTCTGGAAAGAAAAGTTCAAGTACAAAATCTTCAAAAAAAGACCTCAAGATTGTGCAGAATGAGCACTTGAGTGAGCTTTCAGGAAAGAAAAGTTCAAGTTCAAAATCATTTAAAAATGACCTCAAGATTGTACAGAGTGAACAGTTAAATGAGCT